CTTTGGTTATTTATGCCTGCTGGCGTTTGGAAAGACATCTAAACATACAGGAACTGAGGTCCTTTCTTCTCTGCAGGCAGGCTCAGGGATAATCAAGCCTCTGCAGACCCAGGTCGGGGACTCCTAACTGCTCTCCTTTGCTAATGCACAGTATAAGACCAAATGACTATCAAAACAAGCTCTCATCTTAAGAGCACAGTGTTAAAATCAATTTCTAAAACACATTTTAGAAATAAAATTCCAGATTTCCTTGCTTGTTTTTTGTATGAGAAGTCCTTTCTTTTGTTCTCCCCATCAATAAGATGGGACTATCCAACATAAACAAGATCCGTAATCAAAATACAGCTGTAGTTTACAATAATAAAAAGGACACATAAGTGACATCAATCTGGACAGCTGACTTAAAGAAGACAGTTAAAAGCAATTATCTCAACGAACTATTTAAACAGGCAGTTTCCAAAGCATTTATAATTTATTCTCACTACAATCCTGTCAGATAGGCATTAACTTCATTTGATAGACAAGGAAACTGAAACTTGGGAGGTAAAAATAATTTATTCAAGATACAGTTATTGCATAAGTTATTGTATATCATGCAATCTTGTGATCTTATTTTACTCAATCAGCTGTCAATTCTTACATAGTCTATCTTCATAATTTCTTTTTAAAAAAAATACTTTTATTTACTTATTTTTTAGAGGGGAAGGGAGGAAGAGAGGGAGAGAAGCATCAATGTGTGGTTGCCTCTCGAGCGCCCCCTACTCGGGACCTGGCCTGCAACGCAGGCATGTGCCCTGGCCAGGAATCGAACTGGTGATCCTTTGGTTCACAGGCCGGCGCTCAATCCACTGAGCCACACCAGATAGGGCTTCATAATTTCTCTTTAATTAATTCCTCCTCTATATAACCACTGCAACCCCCTGGTCCAGAACCTTATTATCAACTCCATACCAAAGCCTTTTAACCGGTCTCCTGGTTTTTCTACTCGTTTTGTATATGCAAGAGGTTAATATTCTGTAAGCACAATTCTGCTCACTTCTATTTCCTTGCTCAGAAACCTTCAATAAAGTCATTTCTCAGCCAGGTATTCAAATACTATTTCCAGTGACCCTTCACTATATTCCAGTGACCCTTCTCCCAGCTTATTTCCCATTAGTAGTTAACCCAAAGCTTTAAGCCAAATGGAAACTCATACTTTTATTCAAAAACATTGGAATAATGTCTTTACCATCTCTCCAGCCCTGCTGTGAGAAATGGCTTCCCTATTCTTCCCACCGCCATCTATACCTGTTCGAGTTCTGATCACTCTCAATGTAAGGCCCCAGGTCATTGCCATCTCCACCAAGAAGCAACCTGTTCCTCTCTCCTTGGACCTTCTCTGTATCTTCTTTCGTTTTCCCCCGAGATATATTTACTGAGTAACTACTAAGTGCCAGGCACTGTGATTAAGGCAGGGAACGCAAAGACGAGCAAAAAGAACTTTTTCTCTAAAAGCTTACAGTTTAGTTAGGGAGACAAGAATACAAAATAACACCTTGTAAGTTCCACAAACAGTGGTCAGCATAGGACTCTACTTGAGCCTGAACGGAGGACACACAAACCTGGTTCCCGCGGAGCTGCCCCGTGGGCTGAGTGGGAGAAGCGGCCGGGGACCTGTGGGGAGGACTGAGGCAGAGCTCCCCGCCTTCTGCTGTGGGGCTGGGGCTCTGGAGCCAGAGTTTGGAAAGGAAAGGGGGGACTCTAAATTCCTCAACTGTGAAAACCCTAAATGCCACAAAGGGCTATTTTATGAGCCACAATAAAATACTGTTTTAAACTAAATTAAAAAGTGTTACACAAATTTAAGGTATCATTTACTTATAAGTAACAATGCTTCCTAACCACCTTTTGAATTTAACTGGCTATAAGAAACATACAGTTAGATTGTAAAAGTTTAACAGAATAATCTATAATGTTGTCAAATCTGTATTTTATGACACAACGCTCAATCTCTCCCTACACACACATATCCTAAGAATACACACACACACACACACACACACACACACACACACACAACTTTCAAAGGCAAATTCACACTCACGTTTAAAATGAACACTTAAAAATACAAGAAGTATTTTTAACAGTGCTCCCTAAAAATTTACCATTTTATTGTTAGCAATTTCCTAAAATTACAAAACCTGTGCTATTTCTGTTTGTTGAAAAAACTTGAAGGGGATTTTCCATTTTCTCCTCAGCACCAATAAATTCACAATCTGTACACACACAGATTCCTAACAGTATTTCACTATTTCTCTAGGAATGCAAACTGTTCCACATAATTGTATCATAAATAGTTGTCTTAACTGTATAGATTTATATTAAGGAACAGCGCTCACCATTAATACTGCCATCCAGAAGCCTGAATCAATGGGAAATGGTAGCAATAAGAAAAGAAAAAGAAAGAGAAATGGGCCGTGGGGAGGAGGTGCAGTGACTAACTGTAAACTACCATGAACAACAGTTCGGAAAAGGGGCTTCTGGCGATGATGGCATGAGCAGGCCACCAATTCCTCTCCTCAAAACAAGACAACAGTAAGAAAACCGGGCAAAACCGTCCAACAGTCACTTCAGGGTCCTGGAAATCAATCAAAGGCAAATAGTGAACACAAAAATTTCTTGAAAAATTCCTAGAGCCTGGGGTAAGACCAAGGCGGGGGCTACAAACTTACTGCCTGGGGCTGTTCTAACCCACTAACCCCACCCACAGATCCCTCAGCTCTGCTGGAGAGAACTTGGTTTTAACAGCAAGTTCCAAGGCTGGGGCCGGGAAAACCAGGAAACTGAACCTGTGGCATTTGGAGGAGGAGACAGTAGAAATCCCACAGCTTTGTCAGCTAAAAGTGGCAAATTTAATAAAAAACCAATGGGAAATACAGTTTTTCTATCTAGCTTGAGGTTGTGGTCTAATTGGGGTGAGTTGGTGGGCCAGCCAGCAATGTAAAGGCGAGGCCCTGGAAATGAGACAATTAAAGGGGAGCCAGATCCGCTCTCCTCACTTTCCTCACTGACTATGAATCTACATGGATGAAGGTGAGACACGTGAGGGCCCAAGGGAGAGAAAAATCCAAGGAAACCCTGAGAACTGGCTGAACTTTCAATGTGCTTCCCCACTCGCACACCAACGGTAAAAGCTTCCCAAGCTTGCGATGCTTGAGCATAACCTCTGCCCAAGTGCCTGGTGGACCACTAGGCAAGAGAGACACAGGGGTGACTTCTAGCCAGGCTTACAAGGAATGATGAGAGTGAAAACCCCTAAGCAAAAACGTCAGTGGCTGCACACCATAGAGTAGCTTAAGTCCAGGCAAATTACTTAAGTCTATTTCACAGTTTAAATCCAAGGAAATTACTTAACACACACACACCCCCCCCCACCCCCCACCCCCCTTATCGTATAGCTTAAAGGCTGAATAAAGCTCTTCCCCTGATAATCTGATTGAGGAAAGGCAGAAAAATCTAAAAACTACAGCTAGATCTTTTTATCTGGAGTACAGAACAGTTTTACCTTTGGAAATATACTATACAATCCCACAGACAATATGATTTCCTATAGGATAATATATGTGTGATACATACCTTGTTAATTTAAGACATTTTCTTCACTTTAGCATATTAGTACTCAGAAGTGAAGTCAAAGAGATTTGGGTTAGGGGTTAGTAAAAGTACAGAGTTGGATTTTATTGAGTATGTTAAGGAACTATTAAGAGTTAAGCAGGAAAATAGCATTATTTGCAATAAAACCAAACCAAACCAAACCTAAACCAAATGAACAAACAAAAAAAACCCTATCCTGGCTGCTATGTGGAGAATGGCAGCAGCAACAGAGGAAATAAGTGAGGAGGTTTGAATAAGAGTATTGATGCTGATGATAAACGCTTTACATGAATTAAACTCCTTTAAATCTCCTAACAGCTACCTGAGATAGGTACTACTGTCTTCATTTCAAAGCGAGCAAGCCAAGACAGAAAAGAGATTAAATAACTGGCCCAAGGTCATACTGCTATGTAGGGACCACATTAGGACGGTAACCCAAGAAATCTGGCAGAAGAGCTGAGCTCTTAGTCATGTACACAATTCAGCTGTAATCTTAAGAAGAGGTCAAAGTAAGAAAACATTTTAAAGCTATGGCTGCCAAAAACCCTGGCCAAGTAACTTAGCTGGTTTAGAGCATCGTCCCAATACACCAAGGATGCAGGTTTGATCCCTGGTCAGGGCACAAACAAAAATCAACCAATGAATATGTAAATTAAGTCAAATAACCAAATTGATGTTTCTCTCTCTAAAAATCAATAAACATAATTTTTTCAAAAAGTTATATTTGCCAAGACTTGCTAATGGATGAAATGTAGAGATGAAGGAAATAAAGAATGACCCACAGGTTTTGTTTGAGCAACTACATAAGTTTAGGAGTATAATTATATAGAGAGAGGATGTAAAATAAGAGAAAAGGGGTCCTAGAACGCAGGCCTAACATACCACAAATTTTAAAAATTGAACAGAGAAAGAGGAACCAGCAGAAGAGACTAAGAAAGAACTCCGGGTGCTTCAGAGGAAAACAGGAGTGTCACAAAAGCGCAGAGACCAGCATTTAAGGAGGAGGAAGCAGGTAGAGTGTGTAGAACCTGCTGAGGGATTGTGTATGGGAACAGGGAAGGGACCACGAGGGTCTGCAGAGTGAAAGTGGAGCGAGCGGCACCCCCTACGTTCAGTCTCACAAGTGTGCTTACCTTGCTATGCTTTCTGTCCCACCTCCAGACCGTAAGCTCCGGCGCAGGGACTGTGAATCTGAATGCTAAATCCTTGTCTTCCAATTACAACACTTGGAGTAGGAGTGAAATGACATAAATGCTATGTAGTGTAATGTAAATGCTAAGTTAATTCAAAGGGTTTCTGGTATGACAAGATGAAGATTTCAAAAGAAGACACACATCTTTCTGTTGTGCACCTCATAATTCACATACCGTAAGAGATCCGTTTTGCGTGCTGGGTGAGTTGCTGCTCTGTTCCCCGTGGGCTTGCGTACTTCCATAGAGTGTCAGGTTATGCTCACTGGTCTGGCCGGCATAGTCCTGAGTGTGTGGCACTCCATATTCTGTGGGAATTCCGTTCTGTGGAGGTGGTGGAAATGGGATGGTAGTAAAAGGCTGAACCATTGCGTCAGGAGTTGTTGTTGGCTCCTGGTTACCCTATAAGAAACAGTGAGAGAGAGAAAATAAGGAGAAAAAGTGACTTTAAATCTCATTGTATAATTATCTTTTAAGGTGAGTATATAAAATTCTCTGCATACTCCAGCACTGCTTAGGTAAAATACAATACTCCCTCAGGATTGGGGCAAATCCTGCCATACACACACGCCTAACTTTAGTTAATTTGTGGTGATCAGACAGGTCTATGATCATATTAAAGTTGACTAGTTACCAAAGGGTCAAAAATTTTCCTTTAAGTTATAAAAAATGCCAGCAAATTTCTCACATAAAGTAAGTTATGCAAGTTGAAATTAGTTTGTGCCCCTAGTATTTTCTTTAGAGCCCTCACTATTCCTGTAGTGATTCTTAGGGGGAAACAAATCAAATTCATTAAATTACCATTCATAGCAATAGGTCGAATGACATTATTAAATTAAATTCTCAAATCCAGACAGCAGAGACCTCCCAATTTTAAGAGCATAGAGTTTGGGAGAAAGTAAATTATTAAAAAATTAATCTTTGAATTTCAAGGTATAGATTTGTTGAAGTCGTGGCTACTAGATTAATGTTCATAGTAATATTCCTACTAAAACTTTTCCTTAAATTAGAAATACACAAAAAATTCCCCAGACAAAAAAGACTTGAAAGGGTTTCCCGTAACTACTGCCAGCACTACCAGGCTAACAGCACAGCAGGCCTGCTCTCCACGCAACACCCGTCCCCGGGTGCTTGCTTGGGGTCCAGTGTGATATTTGAAATATCAATAAAGAATATGCAGTGACTACTGAAAATTATTAGAAGCCGTTTTGGTTCCATAGTCTTTCTCTTACTTCTGTGTTTTAAGTTTACATACAAAAGATATGTTTAAGTCTTGTGTAACAGATTTGGCAAAGCCCTCCCTTCTCAACAACTCACCTCCTAACCTCCCATTTTATTCCATAAAAAGCAAAACCATTGTTTTACTGAAGATACCCAAGTCTGTCTGCTGTCTTGAGCCACTGTCCTGGAAGTTGTTGGCAGAGATGGCTTCAAAATGTTGGCACTTTGATAAACGCCCCCCCACCCCATATTTTACACATCAAATCACTGGGTTTGTATCATTTGGTTTTCTCCTGGTCATAAGCATCACGTCCTTCAAACAAGAAATTATTCTGTTCTCTCTCAATCCCAATTATCTTTCTTTCCCCTCAATTCAAAAAGGGATTCTCTATCCACTGAGAGCTACAGGAAATTAAATTTTCAGTAGCATTTTCTAAACCTCATGCCAGGCTTTCAATATTAACTTCATGGTCATTAAAACTCATACTACCTAAAACAAAATGCATTCAAAGCTACAGAAAGATCTTTCACTATTTTTAGGTCAACCATCATTACTACAATCAATTATTCTGCATAAAATAAAAGAGAAAAAATCTACAAAGGCTATCATAAATGGAGAAATATATGATCATGGATTGGAAAGTTTGATATTCTTAAGATGATCATGTACCCCAAACTCCACAAACCCAGTGAAAAATTCAGCATGTAGCCCTGGCTGGTGTGGCTCAATTGACTGAGTGCTGGTCTGCGAGCCAAAGGGTCACCAGTTCGATTCCCAGGCAGGGCACATGCCTGGGTTGCGGGCCAGGTCCCCAATGGGGCACATGATAGGTAACCACAGATTGATATTTCTCTCCCTCTCTTTCTCCCTCCCTTCCCCTCTAAAAAAATAAATTAATTTTAAAAAGGTTCAGCATGTATTTTGCAGAAATTGACAAGCCATTATTAAAATTTATATAAAAGCACAAAGGGCCTAGGATAACCAAAATAATTTTGGGGTATCAGGATGATGCTCTAACCAAAATTCAACTACCCAGCCAGGGAGCCAAAACAATGTTCAAAAATAACAAATACTGGAGGACTTATACTACCTGATTTCAAGACCTATTATAAAGCTACAGTAATCAAAACAGCATGGTACTGGCTTAAAAACAGACAATAGATGAATGAGAAAGAAAATAAACCAGAGACAGACACATGCATATATAGTCAATATTAAAGCATCAAATCAATTCAATAGGGGAAACAAAAGATTTTTTGAAAAATTGAAAAACTGAATACCCAATGGAAATAAAATATTCCTCAACTCTTTCTCTATATATGCAAAAGTAATGTTAAAAGCTAAATTATAAAACTTTTAGGAAAAAAAGGACTCTTATAACTTCATAATAAACAAAGAATGCTTGGGGGCACAAACAGTAAGAACAATTCAAGAAAAAGTTAATAATCTGGACTTCATGAAAATTAAACAACTTCTGCTCCCTGAAAGATACTATCACAATAGTAAAAAAGGCAGAGACTGAGAGACAGTATTCAGAATACATACATCTGACAAAGCACACATACCCAGAACTATAAAGAATTGTTACAAATCATAGTAAAAGCTCACTCTTTCTTTAAAAAAAAAAAAAGATTTTATTTATTTATCTTTAGAAAAAGAGGAAGGGAGGAAGAAAGAGGGAGAGAAACATTAATATGCCGGAGATTCACCAGTCGGTTGCCTCTGGCACGCCCCCATGGCAACGGCAGGGAGAGGGTGCGGTGTACCTGGCCCACAACCCAGGCATGTGTGCTGACTGGGAATCAAACTGGAGACCTTCCTCACAGGCCGGCACTCAATCCACTGAGCCCACCAACCAGGACAAAATATTTCTTAAATGGGCTGACTTTAACAGACAACTTCCCACACAAAAAAATATACCAATGGGAAGAAAATACATGAATGTAAGGCTCAACAACATGGCATCAGGAATATGAAATTAAAATCAAATGAGATACTATCTTACAATAGAATGACTAAAAGACTGAAAACACCAAATGTTGACAATAATGTGGAACAACAAGAACTTTCATACATTGCTTACCAAAGCGTGTAGGACTGTTAATGCAGTTTTACTTTTTTATAAAGTTAAAATACTACCTATATATACCCAAAAGAAATAAAAGCATATGTGTACAAAAACACTTATACAAGAATGTTCATGGAAGCCTTAATCATGATAGCTCCAGAATAAGATCAGCTATAATGAAATCAACAGGAAAACAGAAAAACAACTTGTGGTCTTCATCATAAAATGGAATGCTACCCAAAAAAAAAAAAAAAAAAGAATGAACTAACTTACAACATGGATGAATCTTAATATTACTTTTAATGAAAAAAAGACATAAAAAATACATACTATATAATTCCATTAAAAAATGAACAAACGTACAAGGATGAAGCTTAACATTACTTTTAATGAAAGAAAGCAGACACAAAAAAATACATACTGTATAATTCTATTCATATCAAGTATAAGAATAGTAAAAGTAGAAAAAACTAATCTGTGCATAACAGAAATAGGAGAAGTACCATATTTTTGCCATGTATATTGTACACCCATGTTTTTAGCCCAAACTTTCAGGAAAAAAAGGTTTCATTTTATTTATTTATATTTAGAAACAAAACTGATTATTGTATTCTAGGGTATTATTTTGCATACAGATATTGTTATTGCTTTCTAGAGTTACAATTTTTAACACATAAGCATAAATACAAGAATTAAAAATATTGCCATAGATACAGAATTAGTACTACCTATGTATAATGCTCATTCTTATTTCTCCCCTCAAAAATTTGGGAAAAAAGTGCACATTATACACAGCAAAATATGGTAGTTGTTTCTTTTGTGTGTGGGGATGTTGATGAAAATTTGGTGTTGTGGAACATTCTAGGATGATGGAAATGTTATGCATTTCTTTATGGGTGGTGGTGTCAAATTGTTAAAATTCATTAAATTGAGCACTTGGTAAATATGTTCCTATGTTAATTATAACAAAAAATAAGACAATAAAAGTCATCAGTAACCATCTGTTAAAAAATCGTGAAATACTTGTCATTACTTTCAAAAATCAGAAGATATACTCATCACTATTAATACTAATATATACAATAAGACAATAAAATGAAAAGGAGATAAAAAATAATAGACACAGATTATTACAAATATGACTTTATACTTAGAAAAGCCACAGGAATTATCTAACAGACTAGTAGACCTAATATTTAAAAGTCAGATTTAACTTGACTTAACCCTTATAAAAGGACCCATGGACAAAGCCAAAGTAGTGGCAGGAAAATGGAGACAAATGTACTTGAACAATAAAAAAAATAAAATAATAGTAAGAGTTAGATTTATACATAACTATTTTAAAACTAGCAATAACCAGTTATTCAAAATAGTACCAAAATTTATCTTATAATACAAAACGTACAATATGTAATATAAAACAAGACTCAAATAAATAGAAAGACGTATTTTATTTCTGGAGGAATACGTAATATAATAATGTCAATCCTTCCCAAAGTAAAATGTATACCTAATGCCACTTCCATCAGAAGCAACTTATGTCTAGGGAAGGATACAGAACTAGATACATTTCTAATTTGTGTATGAAAGACCCCTAGGAAAGTTTGGGAAAGGAACAACTATGAAATGGAGCACGTTCTATCATGTACTAAAATCTGCCATGAAACTACTGTGATTAACAGTAAGGATACACAAAGGGATTAATAATACAATAATAATCCTAGAAATGATTCTAATTTATATGGAAACAACAGAAGATAAATGTGGCATTTCAATTCAGTGGTTGTGGTGGGGGAGGAGGGAGGTTTATTTATCACATGGTATTTGTAAAATTTGGGTTAACTACCCAATTTTTAGAAAGAAAAACAAAATGAGCGCCTCAGCTTATAGTCCATATAAAAAAAATTCCAGAAGGAAAAAAAATCTAATATAACAACTAAAACTATAAAAATACAAAAAAGAACTTGAGGGTGTAAGTGGCAGCTGGAGAATTCTTAAGTGAGACAGGAAATCTAAAAGCCAGAAAGAGAAAAAAATAATGACAGATGGCTATGAGTTAGGACAAAGAGAGGGAGAGAAAAAGAAATGGGGAGAAATGAACCTCAAAGTCAA